TGAATCAAACCGATCTAATTTCACTACTAAACCAAATTCTCGAGGATTCTTACTTTCAATGCAAGCTTCTTAAGCTTATTCATAGCTCGAAGTTGCTTCATCCGCGACAAAACCGCACTATCAATCGGCTTATCAGAAGCTTCTCCACCTTCTCGTATCCACGGATGTTCTATAGAAAAAACCAAAACCGGTTCAATTTCCTCGGTTTAAAACATTTAACCGAAACAAACCAAGTACTGTATACTATGGTAACATTTTACCTAAAACTTGAGCAGCAGTAAACCGTTTCTTGGGATCACTCTTTAACATGTTCCTCACCAAATCCTTAGCACTCTCCGAAATCGATGGCCATGGTTTTGACTCAAAATCAATCTCTCCTCTCAAAATCTCCTCAAATATTCCTTTATCAGTCTCTGTAAGCAAAAGCTAGCAATGTAAAATCAGTAAACCGGAGAAATTACAAAATCAAACCAAGTTATCCGGTTTAAGTTTTACCGGCCCAAAACGGAGGAATGCCGCAGAGAAGAATGTAAAGAATAACTCCGGCGCTCCAAATATCGATTGCTTTGCCGTAGTTTCTCTTTAGAACCTCCGGTGCAACGTAATATGCACTTCCTACAATGTCTTCGTACACTTTCCCTAGAAAAAAAAAAAAAAACGGTTTAACCATTGAATTCGAGGTTTGAGTAATCTTTCTCGGCTATTATGTTTTAGATTCTTCCTAAACCATAACATTCCAAGGACAGAAGTTGAAAACCTAGCAAAGTATAACAGTTTCTTGGCTTGCAAGAAACAGTAAACAAGAGTTACTTGGTTACCAAGAAATCAATTTAGGACAATTCTCCTTTTGGTTTTTATACCTTCTTCGATGAAAACCGAGACGCCGAAATCGGTAGCCTTGAGCATTGCGGAAGCTTCGTCTTTACCGGATAACAAAAAGTTTTCGGGTTTAAGGTCGCGATGAATGACACCCATGAAATGACAAATCTGTACAACTTTAACCACACATCTAATGATCTCCGCGGCTGCTTTCTCCGAGTAATGACCTCGTTTAGTAATCTTATCAAAGAGCTCGCCGCCTTCGCAAAGCTCCATTACAAGATGAACACTTTGTCTGTCTTCATAAGCTCCTTTGATCTCCACAATGTTTGGTTGTCCTGATAAGTATTGCATTATCTGTATCTCTCTTCTTACATCATCTCTGTCCTGTTCACATTAATCAATTTTGAGGTTCAAATTTCAAGAAAATGAACAAAAGTTTGGGTGTTTATTAGATATTCTTGCCTGAGTTCTGATGAGTTTTCTCTTCAAGATTGATTTACAAGCAAAGTTTTTGCCTGATGAGATCTCTGTACATAGATACGTTATACCAAATTGGCCACGACCCAATTCTCGGCCAAGACTATACTTCTCCTTAACATCTTCAAATGGTTTACCTAAGATTGGTTCCGGTTGTTGTAGACTGCTTTGTTTTGGATGATTACTTAGCTTTTGCTGTTCTTGAGGCTGAGGAATTGGAAGTGGAAGTGGAAGAGGGAGTTTATGAGGTTGCACCACGATCTGGAAATTGGCTCTTGGAGCTGTTTGTCTTTGACGAGGTTGTTGTGTTATTTCTCTGTTATGTAACTCAGTGTTTTGTTCACCATTGTTGTCTGTTTTTGGTTTCTTGAGCTTCTTCTTCAGATTGATGCAGAGACATGCCATTTTGTTTTTGTATCGAAGAAAGAAATTTTAGGACATAGCCATTGAGAGATTTGATGAGTTTAAGGTACTTTTTCGATTTTATGACGACACCTAAGCACGTTCTTGAATATGATTCAAGTCTTTAGATAGTTCTTTTTAAAAATTCAAATGTGAAATAAAAATATCAACAACTTGCATCATTTTTATTATTATTTGTATAGTTTAAAATTAATGTTGGAGGAAAATTATGTTCATATTATTTAACAAAAGTTTGTTACAGCTATTTTGGGTATCTTTGAAATTTTCCATTGACACCAAGAAAATAAAGAGGTCATCAGATAAATAATATACACAAATGCTTATACAAATCTAACAATTTGATTGGCTTTTGAGTGGCGTGCATGTTACAAATGATTATTACATTAAACAGAAAGGAAAAATGACTGATATATTAAACTAGATATACCCCCCAAACAAAATTAACTCTAATTTCATTTGAAGGTTTCCTAAATCTAAACTATTTAGAACAACTTGCTGTTAAGAACAAAAACATAGATTGAACTGCCGAATCAGAAAAAATTGGGTGCTATCATATAAGCTTTGTATCGGCTAAATCCACCGGCATGCTCAAACCGTCATAAAGTTCTTTAAATTAAAAATTGATTGGTTAATTATAACAAATACAGAAAGATTGATTGGTTAGGATTGTAGCTGTAAGATTTTGTTTTAAATTGTAAGTGTGAAGCAAATACTATTAAATAATGACTGTGATTTTAAAGATATATTTCTGCTTTTGAAAAAAAAATGTCGATCATGAAAACAAAAGAAAATGATAGGACAGTTTTTATGACTTTTAAAATTATAAAAATCTGATTGGTTAAATAAGACTGATATTTTTAAAAGTTCTCACATTATCGCCCTAAATCTTCTTTATTGTTTTCAAAAAGTTTTCAAGTCACAAATGACCATAATCTATTTTTTTCTTCATAGAGTTTCTTTCAACTATTTATGTATGTCCAAAAACAATAATACAATTATAAATTCAAATTAAAAGTATTGGAAAAATAATTTCAAATGGAGCATATAGCATAAGCTTTATTGAAACTTTAGGAGACAATATAAGATTATTGAGCACTATTGGCTCTTTGTAAAGATATATTCTAGAGAATAATGTTTTATATTTTTGAATTCGGAAGTGCAGTTTGAAATAGATTTATATATGTATGTATGTTTATAATATATTTTTTTCTTACCGGAACCAGATTAAGTAGATAAACAAATAGATATTCTCTGATTTTTTAAGTTTATAATTTGAAAAGTAAATTAAATGCTTCGAGAATCCATATAAAGCATCAAGTCAATGAACTTGTAAATTTTTTATTTTGAAGAATCATATCAAACACTAAAATATCTGAATATAACAACGAACAATAACACTTGTTAACCTGAATATGTAATGTAAACAATGTAATAGTCAAGCCATTTCTAATAAAACCAATCAGGTGTTGTCGTGCGTCGTGGACAAATAAAATTTCAAAATTTGATATTAGTTTTATTTAGAGAAGGACAGTCCGATTTGTGATTTGGTTTTCAATTTTTTCGTTGTCCACATTATTTTTTATATATATAAAGACTAAAACCTTCAAATACTATTTGTAATTTCGTTTAGTTTACATTTGATTTAACAAACAAAAAGGTTTTAATTGATTCGTACTTCAGATTTGGTTTAGCAAAATAACAATTTTGGATGTATATATATAACAATTCTCTGGTATATCTGGAATACTAAAAATGATAAGGTGTTTAACAGGAAAACAATATCCCCACAGTATAACAACTACCCTCGACGCGGCGAGTTGGAATATCGCTAATC